CATTTCCAAACTTACAATTTAAGTGTCAATTTCCCAGTGTTCTCAAGCAAATGGTCAAGCACATGTTAACTCTGACTTTAAATGTCTGACCACTTATACCTTATTTGGGCAACAACATGGCCTCCAGAGGTCCTACACCTCCACAATACTAAACCATTCTTCAATTATCCATTCATTGAACAAACTCCTCAAGCCCATCAGATTACACAACCTAAACCAGAGTTCATGCACATCATTAAAGTCACGTACCGTCATTGAAGTCAATTCAGCTTCGTCGTAAGAGAAAATCTGTTCTGTGCTTCAGTGTTGTTTCTTGTCGTTTGGTTTGTTCAATAGTAGTAGCAGCACTTCAAGAGTCACTCTTATATATATCTTACACATAGAGCGTTAACATACCAGGATTACGGATGAATCCATTTCATGGTGAGGGGTGGAATGACTTTTGTTTTAAGCCCCTGTTCATTGTGAATGAACTACGCAGCTTGCGAATGACAACCTGAGATTGTAATTGAGTGTTCTTGATATTGTGTGTTTAGGCAGTGTTTGTTTATTCCTGTGATTGTACATTAATTGTGGTTTTGTAGAAATGTGGTCACCCCTTATATTAGTGCAATGGACTTTCTCTGATAGGGTCTATTTATGGAGAGGGGATGACAGCTGAGAAATCAGTGGCAAATGTCTGAGGGCAGGGGGATGGAGGTGTGCGTCTGCCAACAGCTGGGCTGGTGGAGAGTTGACTGGTACTTTCTAGAATGAGAAAAGTGGAGAGCTGGGCTGGGGGGGAAGGTGTTACACACATACTGTAACAAACCATTAAGCAACTTTCTGGTTGGTGCTGGAGGGAGACGATAATGGTGTAACTTGATTGTGTCGGGAAGATAATGAAAGTGTTGCCTTTTCATTTTAAAAGTGTATTAAAGATTTAAAAACATGAAATGTGAGAATTTTCTGTATTAACTCCATTTGACGGAAATGTTACTTAATTTATAACTCATCTGGTTTATTAAACCTACAATCATTTTTTTGATTAAACAATGCTACAAGTAAATCTATTTTACTTGTATTAATGTTAACTCTCAGATGAAAAATGTGCAGTGCAGCCACCAAATAGTACAGCCAAAAATGTATATTTACTCTCTATTTACTCCCCTCTAATGGTTGTAAACCTTTGAGTTTCTTTATTCTGTTGGACGAAGATATTTTAAAGAAAGTTGAAATCCTGTAAACATTGACTTCCATAGCAAGAAAAAACAAATACTATGTAAATCAATGGTTACAGGTTTCCAGCTTTCATCAGAATTTCTTATTGCGTTTAACAGAAGAAAGAAAGTCAAACAGGTTTGGAACAGCTAAAAGGTCGGAAATAGTTGTAATCAAGTAATTTTCAGTTTTGGGTGAACTATCCCTTTAAATGTGTGCTGGATATGGGCAAAAGGCTAAATAGATTATATATAAGTCTTGACCCTGATATAATTTCATACACATTTTTATCAATGTTGGGAAAAATGCTGGTAATAACTTCAACAGTATTTTCCATTTCCCCTACTCGAAATATAAAAGCTGTATTCCAACATTCTTCAAAATATCTTCTTTAGTGTTTACCAGAACTACAACAAATAACTAAATCAAACTGTTTTGGAACAAGAAGTTATAGCATCTATGAAGTTGATATATAGTGCGGGTGTTGGTCAATGCTTTTCACACAGTTTGATCATTCACACATGTAACAATCATGGAGTGTGATTTTGCCAAACACGATGTGATCCTGGATTAACACTTTGATCCTGGAAAGTTATTTTTGTTCGAAAATGTAATCTATACCTAATCCCTATCCTTGAACGCAAACTAAACTCTAATTTTATTTCACAAAAACATCAGAGAGGAGTTGGATAACAACACGTACGCGTAGGCTACATAACTCTAAATTTAACAAAATCTGTAAATGTATCTCTTAAAACGTATTTGCTTATTCTTAATCAACATAGATGTTGATCCATATCCTTCTTGGTGAAATAAAATCACACAAACCACCAACAATCACATAATTTAGGCCTAAATCACATTCGTAGACAGGACTCGCGAGTAAAACCTCATTTTGCGTGCGCTGCTGAACGGAAGCACTGCATATTCTTGTGTTTCAGTTTCATTTGTGGTTTCGGTAACTTAGAGACAGAGATGAAGATATGCGCCGTGTGTGTCTTCTTCTATATGGGGCATCTGCAGACTTGGATCCAGGCAGTTTTACGCGCCACAGTTTTACGCCCCTGTGTCTGCAGTCTCCCCCTCCTCGTCTTCTTGAGGCTTATATCCATCTTTTCCGTCCTCCACCGAAGCTCCAGACAGTTTTGTGCCCTGCGCTAGGCGTAGACACTTCCTTTACTGTGGTAAAAAACTTGCCGGAATAAATTCAACCGCGCCACAGTTTAACTGATCGCCCTTTTGTTAATCACTGGACAGATGATAGTCACAAAATACAGACTTTGAAATAGACAGTATTCGAGCTGCTGTGAGAACAGAACAATATATTTCGAGACAGTGTGAATTCAGTAACGTACACTAGAAAGTAGGCTAGTAATTATTATACTATTTGTATACTAATATTATTGTTAGCTATTTTCAATGACAATGCTGATGATCATCCCACTCAATATTGAACTATATTGAACAAGCATTAGAATCCAAGCATTATTCGACCCTGAGGTCGAATACATATAGGTCTGTTTAGAAATCGAAATTACATTTTACTTAAATATGCTAAAATTATTTTAAAATTGTATTCACAGTCACAGAAAAAGTAATTTTCATAAAATATATATATATATATGATCATAAACGCTAGTAAGACTTGTGGTTATGAAATAATGCTTTATACTTCACCAAAAAAAAAAATAATAATAATAATTTAAATGATTTCCAAGGTGACGCAAGCTGGTGAAATATCTGCTTTGCCATAACAGAGATAAATTACTTTTTAAAATATTCAAGTAGTAAACACTTCCTTTGTAAAATATAAAATATTTCAGAGGCGACACGGTGGCTCAGTGGGTTCGTAGGTCGCCTTACAGTAAGAAGGTTGCTGGTTCAGGTCTCTGCTGGGCCAGTTGGTATTTCTGTGCGGAGTAGGCATGGGCTGGTATAAGATTCTGATGATAAGATAACCTTGATTAAAAATATCACATTTTTACGGTAATGTGATTACTACTCTAAAATGTCATTTAAATGTCTAGGGAAAAAAAATAAAAAAGTCCCCTTTGAGCATAATACATTTTATTTATTTTATTTTGTTTGGAATTGAAAATCGAGTTGACATCAGAACCCAACATCAGGCTGACATCAGCGTCCAGCGTCCCACCTAAAATTAACCAAATGTCTAGTGTGGAGGCATGTATAGGTGTATAGGTGAATTGAATAAAACTAAATTGACTGTATTAGTGTATGTGTGTGAATGAGTGTGTGTGGATGTTTCACAGTACTAGGTTGCAGCTGGAAGGGCATCCGCTGTGTGAACCATGTGCTGTATAAGTTGGCAGTCCATTCCGCAGTGGCGACCCCTGAAGAATAAGCAACTAAGCTGAAGGAAAATTAATAAAATATTTCAAAATATGAATATGTTGTCAGGGTTTTGTTGTGTTTTCTCTGTCTCCCTCTTGTGTCTGTTTATTTGTGTGCAATTACACCTGCTATCAATTCCATGGCTCTCACCTGTTCGCCCTGATTATTTGGCTATTTAGTCTCCCCTTCTCCCTGGTTCTGTGCTTGATAATTGTTTGATGTCAATAAGCTCTCTAAGCTACTTGTCCTACCTGTATTCTAGTTTCTTGAGTCTTGTGAACTTCGTCTCGTCCCGGTCTGTCTCAACCCATTTGTTGTTTGTTCCACTGTACTTTGGCTCACCTCTACTCGGCCCACAGTCTGCGCTTGACTGAAGCCAATCCATCCACTCTCCTGCCTGAGGTCTGTTCTAACATATTCAACTGTTTTGATGAGGAACCTTTGTTCGACCAGTCCAGCATTGGCCAGGAGAAGGCCGTGTACTTTTGACTGCCTGTGTCATATTTGCTACAATTAAGTGACCCCCCCCCCCTTTTTTTCTTCTCCATAATCCCTTGAAGAGGAGTTTTGTCCACCTTAGGTTGAAATAAACTGTTGAATTTCTCCCTTGCATTTGGGTCTCCTTCTGAACACTGACATTTATTTACTGTATTTATATATAAACTTGAGCAAAATAGACTTGTTTTTGAAAAGCTAACTTGCCAACTTCTAACTTTTGTACTGTATATAATTTAAATGTATATTCTGAAATGAAATAAACACTGCATTCAAAGGGCATAGAATCACCAAGAGGTGACACTAGTGCAACATGGGAAACGGCCACTAGATGGCGCGGCGGCCATTTTGGAATGAAAACTCCAATAGAATAACAGCATATTAATAGTCTTTTAAATAAACTATTAAAAGTGCTGATTATTGTGATTAGTAAGTGTTGTATTGTCGCCTTTAGGTTGTATCTCAACTTTAATGCACTTTTTAAATAAATAAACAAAGCAGCTGCTCGCCATCGCAACAGCAATAAGATCCAATGGACAACCAGTCGCTTTCACTCCAAAATGGTGGAATCCGGGGCTGTTGCTGAGCGCTGCTATTGCAATGGTTCGTTCTATTGAGTGTTGCCTCTTGGTCATTCTAAGCTCTTTGCAGCATTTTACTCTAATCTCAACACTGTAAAACAACCAAGTGGAAATGACTATGGACCAAATACCGAGAGCGGTCTGGATGCAGACCTGGTGCAGTGCAATCTGAGCTGCATCCAATGCTTTATAAAGGGCTCACCTAACCCCACCCCTAACCCTACCCATCACAGTGACATCACTTGCTCCATTTGTGTACATTGTGTCTGACATTGCATCGCTGTGTGATGCAATCTCAGCTTGCATCAGAAAGGCTGCATCCAAATACTAATGCAAATATCAGCCAAGATTCAATTCAGACCAAACCCAATGTTCATTTATAATAATGATTTAATAAATTATGGCCTCAAAACAAACAAATGTGCAATAATAACAAACCATAATAATAATAAAATTCAAAAGACATGGCATTTAAAATCAGAAGCGCACTAAATATATCATCTAACATCAAGCGATCATCTGGACGCCTCTAGGAAAATATCTCCTGAGAGAGAAACTGTACGAAACTCCGCCAAACCCATGTAAAATATCAGCGTTTTAGCACATTAAAAACATTCTGGCATCTGGATATTTTGTAAATGACGCACTGCTGATGCCAGTCTCACTCTTGATTATCAGGAGCTGATGATAAACTGGCAGAAATCCTACATTTACAGTACATGACACTTCTGTGCTCGTAAATCACACATCCATGTGTGTTTTCCTTTAAAAAATAAAATGATTATCACTCCAGTGAGGAGAACTATCATAAACACACACACTTTTGCACGATGTATGAAAATTGCACGTTTAAAAATCTGCTTTGCCGCCAAGCTTTGCATCGAGGTCACTAAAACTAGAGGATAAGCTGTTAGAAACCATCATTTGTATTTCAGAGGAACAAACTTATTGCCTTTCTCTGAAACAAAAAGAGTCTTCAGTCTGATCCCAGAGCTGCCTTTATATTTAGGGTTCATCTGCTGCTACAGAAAAGCACAGTCAGCGTTTGGTTCCATCAATCCGCAGTCGTTTTTGAACGCTTCAGGGAAATGTGCTTGGGATTGCGATGAGATGTTTGTGTGTTTGCAGCTGTGGTTTTGGCAGATGTGTTTGTTGTTTGGTGTGTTTGGCAGCAGGAGGAGCTCTCCACACATGGGTATCAGACCACTACTGAAGCAGGAGATGGAGAGCAAGAGATGAACCATCATCCCATTGTGCTTCTCACTGTGGGGGGAATAAAAAAAATCATGATCAGAGATAATAGTGCAGGTCTTCAGAATATATTTATTTTTTACTCATTAAAATATTATTATTATTAAATTATTATTATTATGTACAATAAATATTGAAAATAATATGTAACATTATTATTATTATTATTATATTATGTATAATACATTTTGATAATAATATGTAACATTATTATTATTAGTAGTAGTATTATTATTATTATATTATGTACAATAAATATTGAAAATAATATGTAACATTATTATTATTATTATTATTATTATTATTATATTATGTATAATACATTTTGATAATAATATGTAACATTATTATTATTATTAGTAGTATTATTATTATTATATTATGTACAATAAATATAGAAAATAATATGTAACATTTATTATTATTATTATTATATTATGTACAATAAATATAGAAAATAATATGTAACATTTATTATTATTATTATATTATGTATAATAAATATTGAAAATAATATGTAACATTTATTATTATTTCTATTATTATTATTGTTGTTGTTATTATTATTATATTATGTATAATAAATATTGAAAATAATATGTAATATATATATATATATATATATATATATATATATATATATATATATATATATATATATATATATATAATATTTATTTTCTAAATATCTTAAAGGTATTTTACAAAGTTACTCAAGGATTATAAATGTAACTTTTATAATATATTAAAAGTTGTTTTTAAAGATAACAATATTTGTAATATATTACAATAATATTTCATTGTAGATCCAAAAATATAACAATTTGACAATAATCATTAATATTTAAATTATTACTGTATAAATATTTAGGAGCATTAGAATTCTGAAAGTTATTTTTTTTTACATTATTATGATTTTATATTACAGTTATTGTTGGTTTATTTATAAGGTAAGTGGTTTATTAATATTGATGGTTTATTAATATTGACCGATCATAATACATTTTTGAATTTATCTGGTATTTATAAATGTTTTAAAAGTGGTAAAAGTACATCATATAATTAAGGAACAGAAAGATATGTGAATATCAAAACTAAAAGTACATATAATTAAAATATAATAAAATAATAATGCATTTTAATTCATTTAATTTACATATTAAAAATGATATATTTGTTTTTTTAGGTTAAATTCAAAAAGTGTTTATCAATATATAAAAGAAGTATCATAATTTCAGCATGCAACATATATAATTTTTTACTATATTATTGCAGATCCATACATATTCCAAATAACCATACATATTTTAATTATTGCAAATGAGCATAAGTATTACATATTTATTTTTTGTGGATATTAATATGAAAATAATAATTTAATGTGATTATACTATTTATAACTTGGTAAAGATAGTCCAGTTAATAAAACACAACATTTATAAGTGCAAAACAATACAACATAGGCCAACACAACTTATCAGCAATCTTCACAATATGTATAAGTTAATGTTAGGTGTAATGCATTTGCTAACATGAACAGTCAACAATACACTACAGTGTTTGTTCATGTTAGTTAATGTTATTCAATGACAATAAAGTTGTCCATTGTTAGTTCATGTTAACTCATAGTGCATTGACTAATGTTAATAAGCATGAATTTTGATTTTATTAATGCATTAGTAAATGTATTGTTCCTAGGTCATGTTAGTACAATAAGCATAGTCTATTAAAAACTAACACTCAAAACGTAACACTAACATAAACTAATGAAATATCGTAAAGTGTGACCGAACATCCTGTAACTACTTTTGTTGCTCTTCACAGCTTAAAAACTCACAAAGTAGACGTCGAGCACGGAGTCGTCATCTCTGTCGATGTCCATGGTGCTCTGCTCGGATGTCAGACAGATGGCGCTGTCCTCCAGTGTAAAAGTCGAGCAGGCGCATCTACTGGCACAAAACAACAGCAGCAGCAGAGAATCAGAAGAAGATCAAGGACAAACCAAGAGTCCTCAAACACGACGGATGAACTGCGCGAACATACGGACATTTCTCATCAGGACACATTTCAGAATGTCATTCAGAATCTGCTCATCTTTTTACTAATGCAGTAATAACAAAGTTCATTTTAAGTGTAATATAGTCTTTGATGAAACTCTGTTGAGTTATTGCTGCCATGGTAACCTATGTTTTCATATTTCAGACGCTTAGTTCGGTCCTTTTCAAGCCTGAAGTCAGTCAGAGTTATTTAATGTTTAAATTAAATATGCAATACTGACAAAAAGTACATATCTTATCTACACATTAACGTTATGAAATCAGAACCAGGTGGCAGAAGTTCCCGGATTTAATGAAGTTTATCCAAGCGATTCAATCAAAACGGTTGATTCGTCTTTACACAATAACGTTGTAAAATCAGCTACAGTACAAGTTTATTGAATTACGCCCGTTTATATACATTGATAATATATTTTTAGATTTCTTGAAATATGTCAAACGTCTGTCAGGAATAAGTAAATATAAATATGATACGAAAAGTACCAGCAGGTGGCATAAGTGCACGGATTTATAAAAAGATTCACTGAATCGTTCATCCAAGCGACTCAATCAAAACGGTTGATTCGTCTTTACACATTAATGTTATAAAACGAGCTAAAGTACAACTATATTGAATTAAGCACGTTTATATACTACGTTTATATATATTTTGATACATGTAAAACTTGTCTGTCAGGAATAAAAAAAATAACATAATACAAAAAGTACCAGCAGGTGGCAGAAGTGCCTGGATTTTATGAAAGATTCACTGAATCGTTCATCCAAGCTGTTCAATCAAACGGTTGATTCGTCTTTATGTTTACGTGCACCCTCATAATACAAATGGATTTTTAGCAATATTGCGTTATCATCTCATCTATAAACTATGTCATTTAAACAGTACTTGGATCAAACTAATGAAATATACACACATAACTAACATATGTGATACACCGATTTTAATAGAATAGGCAAATCTCAAATGAAGAGCAAATGTGGTGTATTGGCTTTTTTATTTGAAATATTTAAACCTATTTTTCTATTTTTGTTGGTGAAACAAGACTGGGTCTAAAACGTAAGCCCTCCAGTATTGCATCTTTGTTGATCATGTATGAATAAATATCAGACATTTAGTATAAATGTCACTTTAGATATTAAGTAAAATGCCACACTTCTGATAATACTTAACTATAGACCATTTTGAAGGGTTTGTAAACAAAAACAATGGCAATGTTTTCCATTTTTAATTCCTATAACTTCTGAGAATCCAAAAACAGTCATGTATTAATAAATAATGTTGTGATAGCTGTTTTAACATTAAGTTATGATTGAATTGCCCCTTACAGTTATAAAATAGTTTGATAACAAGCAGGAAATGTTCATGGGCCAATGACATAACCCTATTGAAATGGTCTATTATACCTTATTAAACAAAAACTCATAGAGATATCTTTTGATCCACTTATGTAATTTTTCTACTTTCTGTCATTTAAAAACTACATTTTCTAAACAATATTCATTCAGTAGATGCTTTTGGGCTCTCAAGACAAGTTAATGTGTTAACTAAAGATAAAATGGTTAACTAAAGATAAAGACATGGTTATTATAGTGAAATATTGGTATCTAAAATTAACCAAAGCTTCATTATTAAATGTTTTTATTTATTTATTTTGAACAATTTTTTTTTTTTTTGGTGAATCTGAAAAAGTTTAACCGTATTTCAAAAAGAAAAATGTAACAGTATATTAATCTTTAATCAACAACAAATCATCACTTATACTATTACAAAAAAACAATGCTTAATTAGTTTTCTTAAGCGTAATTACATCTGCCTTAGCAGCCGCAACTAATTAACTAATATTTTGATTAAGGCAGGCAACAAGATCATCAGACAATCTCAAAAATCATTGTTCAAGCCAAGCAGCAGAATACCACCATTTAGTGATATTCTTTGTTATAAAACAATAACTCTATTACATTTAACCTTAGCAAGCAGGTGAAATATTTATGAGGTCTTTTCATGAGAATTTCTCTTACAACAGGTGTGTGTCAAAAGCGAGGAGATCAGTAAAACGCGAAAACAAAGAATCGGCCCGCAGAGCAAGTGTAGCGTGACAGCACCTGGTCAGCTGAAGCAGGATACTAGAAACCCATCCTGAAGTGTTAAATTGGGTCATTGTTTGGCTATATTTAGGACGACTTCACTAGTTAAATGAGTAGATGCAAATCATTTTTTGCCAGCATTTCCTCAATCCTCGTGTCATTCTTAACCCATATCACTTACTTTCATGGAATGAGTACAGAAATACAGCATATATGGACAGTGTTGACCTGAATTTCAGCCTTTCAAAATAAAAATAAAGAGGACATACATAATGCTTGCATATTTGTTTGCATTATTAATTGTACATATAAATTAACCTATTAACATATATATATATATATATATATATATATATATATATATATATATATAATTATACTCATTTTACTAAAGTATTTAAAATGTTATAATGTGCTAATGTGCTTGAGTTCAACACACTGCAGTTCAGAACATATTGTAAAAGTATGAAATCAGTCCCTTACATAAAATTCACAATCGCATGACTCTTTTAAGTCACATGGACTACTTTTATGATGCTTTTATGGTGCTTTTGCATTTGATTTGAAGCCTGAAAAGCAACTCACTAAAACTAAAAGGAAAATTCTAGTAACACTTTATAATAAGATTTCATGTGTTAAAATTAGCATACAATACTTCTACAGTATTTAATAATGTTCATGTTTAATCTCAGCATTTATTAGATATAAATACAAACACTGGATCTAAAAGTTAACATCAGCTAATGCAAATGGGAACTTTTATTTTTTAGAAATATTTGCATTAACATTAAAGAGCCCCTATTATGGGCCCCTATTATTTTGATAATGGCCTTCTATGCAGTGTGTAACACAGCTCTAAATGAAGTGAAATATCCAGCAAAAGCCTGGTTTATACTTCTGCGTCAAGTGATTGGCATAACCCACGGCGCATGCAATGCGCGTAGCTGTGCATTTATACTTCTGCGCGCTGTTTCTGTTGCTTTGCAATAACACTTCCGAAACACGTATAATTGTGTTGGATGGGCTTTTATTTTGAAGCTTTCCAAAAAGCCCAAAAAGTCATGCTTGAAATTATTCATATGCGTCTATTCCCACACCTTCTGCTAAGATTGCGTGTTACGTGATGGGTCACACTTTATATACATCAGTCCTACATAACGTGCATTCAATCACTGCTAGAAGTCAGTGAGTGGAGAGAAAATTATAAATATTCCTGTTACAAAAACACAGCAATCCACTTCATAAATGAGTTTTAACCCCTGGCAGCATATGGCTTAGTTAAAAGTCGTCATGAAATCAAAATGTACTTGTTTTTTTTTTTATGTATCTATATAGGAATGATTGCTATAAATGTTATAAATGATGTATATGTGGACTTTGTTACTTATTTGACCTAATAATCTTTTATCAAATATCATAAACATCCCAAAAACAACTTTTTTTCACTTCTGGTCACATGGAATGACTTTAGGGTGGAGCTAATAGGGCGAGTCTCGTTTCTGCTCCATTTGTCCATTAGTCAATCTTCCTTTATTTGGTTGGCAATGCCTATCAATCCAATCTGTTCCCAAAGGACAAAATCATGCATTAACATACATATTTTATCTATTTTAGAACCGTTTCAATTAGAAGCACAGCATGACATGGGAAAAATGGACAATCTTAACTTCCATTTCATGCTGACTATAAAATGGATTTATGAACTTGTGTAAGCTTCAAAATAAAAGTCACCATCCATCCCCATTGTTCAGCATTTAAGAGCAAGGAAAAAAGTGAAACTACTCTGTTCACCTGACAGAAAACTTTTTTATATTGTACTCTGAGGATGGCTCGAGGGTGAGTAAATTATGGAGTAATTAGAATTTTTTTGGATGAGCTATTCTTTTAAGACCATATTGGAATAGTTACAGGAAAATTGTGTTCCATGAAAAAAGATCTGGTGCTCGGTAAATGATGACAGAATTTTCATATTATTTGCAAACTCTTCTTTCCGCCTCTTTGTGGCGGGAACAGAAGTGTGTCAAGTTTATGTGTCTGAGGGTTTGGTTTCACCTTTCATTAGATTTGGCTTCCAGATAATGATCTTTGATGAAAACAGAGGGCGGGGAGAGGGTGTGACTGAAGGAAGAGGCTTCGTACGGGTGAGGAGTCTGAAGGACCAGGTCAGGACGGTTATAGGACCAGAGCACTGTGGTGTGAGAGGATAGAAAACAAGGTGACAAGGGGGAAACATTGGCAAAGGAAAAAAGATCATTTAAAAGGATAGTTCAGCCAAAAATGTAATTATCCAAACTTTTTGTTCATTCAAAACTTTCTTCTGTTGAACTCAAAACAAGGTATTCTAAAGAATGTTGGGGAAAATCATTTACATCCAGAGTAAAAAAAAAATACCCCCATCTTGTTTTCCAACAGTTTTCTGCCTTCATTTCTGGGTGAACTATCCCTTTGACTCCAAATGATATCTGAGTAAATTTAATACACACTCATTAGTCATTGAAAATGTTTGGGGTGGGCAGGATTTTTTGAATGATTTTGCTTACCAAAGAGTGTACTTAGATATATTTTACTGTTACAGTCACCAGCGTTATAGCTACTGCGGATCACTGGAGGAATACATACATGGCATATGCGCAAACTACAGGATGCACCTCGCACACACCGGTTCCTGATTGACATTGATTACACACATACAGCCAGAGGGTCATGATGAACTGATTACATGGACTTTAAATATAGCACACACACCAGTGCTGAGTCTTGTTTTACTGATACATTACGATGCGTTTTCCTAGCCTTGCCTTTACGGACCTTTGCTTTGTAGCTATGTTTACGTAGTTTGCCGCTGATCTCTTTGCCTGTGACCTGACTACACTTTTGCTTCAACAGTATGTACCTGTTTGCTCCTGTTATTGACCTTTACCTGTCTGACCATCCTCTGTTGAATAAATCCTGCATGTAGCTCCTTAATTCCAAATATTAATTTGTCCAGTCTTCAAATTCACATATTACTTCAGACATCATTCTAATATGATGATTTGCGGATCAAGAAGCTTAGTGTCTTTTGATTAGCGATGTTGAAAACAGTTTTGCCTAATAATAATAACATAGAAGGTAACAATTTACAATAACGTTCCATTACTTTATAAAATAGTTTATGTATGTACTAACATGAATTAATAATGAACAATACTTAGACAGCCATAGTTCACTATCATAAATTTCAAATTTGTGCTATTTAACGTTAGTTAATGCACCGTTTTATCAATGAAAAACTTTATTTTCACTAACAAGTAAATGTATTGTTTATTGTTTGTTCATGTTAATAAATATGTTAACATTAACTAATGGAACATTATTATAAAGTGTTACCAAAAGTATTATATTTATAATATTAAAATTATGCCAAATAGAGTTTAAACAGTAGAAATTATACAACATATGCATCTTTACATCCTCTTTCGATTAGTTTAATGCTTCTATGAATAATTTAGGCATTAAGAATGTATCAAAATGAAAGACCCCATACTTTTGAATAGCAAGGTATTACAATTTCATTATAATTCATATCCAGCAGCGACTCTGAGATGATGACTAATACATCAGCACAAAAAAAGTCAATGCACTGACATCAGTTTGTGTCTTCAGCTCAACATTTGTGTTTGGGTAGAAAATGTGAACTGAATAAGGAAGAAATGATTGTCTGAAGACAAGAAAAACACACACGACTGTCTTGGAATGTTAATTGTATTTCAGGGTTTTTTCAAAAGATCTACTGCGTTTAATTAACACGGGAACTTCCTGATATGCCGCCAGTAATACAACGTGAATGTTTGAAAGGTAATGTCACCATTTTTTTATGTAAATAAGATAAGATGTGAATTAATTAACCCCAATAATGTGGTTTTAATCCTGACTAATGTTTTTATACCTGTTCAAGCTTGTTCATGCAGTACATACAGTACATAAAAAAATACTTACCATTTAATCACACTCAATTGGTCCTAAACATTTATACATTTCTTTCTTCTGTTGAACACAAAACAAGAATGCTAGAAAAAATCAGCCATTGACATCCATAGAAGCAACAAAAATGACTATGGCTAAGTCAATACCCCCCAAATCAAGTGGTGCTCGCTGCAGAGCCATTTGAGGAGAGGTGAGCTCCAGAGAGGGGGAGCTTAAGCTTGAGCTCCACCTTTTTTGCACTTCTTCTACGAGTGATGTCACTGGGGGTAGGGTTAGGGGTGGGGTTGGTGTACGCATTAAAACAGCTTACAGGAGGAGGAGCGACAGCTCATGCTCCCCCTCTCTGGAGCTCACCTCTCCACAAATGGCTCTGCAGCGAGCACCCTCTCAAATTATTTAGTATATAAAGAGTCTAGATGCAAAAACCTCTGAAATCTTTCTCTAAAATGAGCATTTTTATCAGGCTGTTGTGTGTATGTTCAGGAATATCACTTTTATGTCCTTTTCCTGGTCTTTTTTTTTTTTTTTGTTTTTTTGCATCTGAATTCATATCTTTATTTGTGTTCAACGGCAGAAAGAAAGTCAAACAGGTTTGGAACAAGTGGAGGATGAGTGAATGATACAATTTTCAGTTTCTGTGAACTATCTCTTTAATTGTGCATGGTTGTTAATGCAGAACAGGCTGATCTGAGTATTTCAGAAACAGATGGTAAACTGGGATTTTCATGCACAACCATATCATGCACTTAACCCAGGATATTTTTCAAATCAAGTACCACTGTTGTCAAAATCCTTGAATTACCAACTTCCATACGATACTTAAAATAAAACAAACAAACAATAAACTTGTGGATGGCAAGTTGATTGTTTTATGTTCAATGCACTTAAATTTGTAAAAACTAAAAAGTTAACCTAATTCATTTATATTGTCCCAACACAAACTGATTGTGTGGAACCCAGCATTGTTTACAGTGTGTAAAATCGAGCAGTGCAATTATTTAAATAAAATAAGTTCCTTTGACTTACATTTTTAATGAAAGTTCATTGAACTTAAGAGAAATAATTCACGCACACTCAAAATTTGATGGTATTAGACTGAACTTAAACAAAGTGAGTTAACCTAACCATGCAGATTTGTAGTTCCAAGCATGCTTTGTGTCAGACTGGAATATGTTTTCTCTCCTTAGACAACTTATTAAATCGTAACATTTAGTGGGGGCTCATCCGGGATGAAATATCCTTAATATGCATCCATTTCCTTCAGTAATAATATAATATTCTAAATGTTACGTTTTCTCTCCTTAGACAACTTAATAAATCTTAACATTTAATGGGAGCTCGTTCGGGATATTAATTGTTTTTTGAACACGATTAACATAGGGAGAAACTTATTTAGACTTTTATTTACTATTAGACTATATTATATTATATTATATTATATGATACATATCATTAAATCAAATAAAAAACAAAAAAATAAAGTTAAAATAAAGAATAGTAGAAAAATGTTGGTTTCAGTTTTGGAGTTACATACTAAGAAAGTATGTCATGCTGCATTATGTTCAATTTCATACATTTCGTACATCAATTACATTTGAAGACAAAAATTAATTCTAATACGGTACACAAGGGCGTAAAATTGGCATGGACACAGGACATGTGTCCTCACCAATATCCACCAATTCCAGAAATGTCCCTCCCAATACTTTAATTGACTTTAAAATAAAATAATGCTCCGTCAACCCTTAGTAACCTACACGTGCACAAAGTCAAGTTTGCTACGAGTTCACCGTAATACTATTAACCAAGACTGTGCAACTAATCGAAATTTGCTTTCAATAATCAAGATAAAACTGTTAAATTGTGTCACAAACCTCTCTAAATTTCTCTACATTCATACCTCCTCAAAGCCAGTAAAATCAAATAAATTGACTTTTGCACCACGGACAGTAATAATTATTTGTATTATTTAGTGTTAATTTTATATTATTAGGTACTTTCATCATGTTTTTAAAAGCACAAATTTTTGCTGTGCATGCACTCTATGTGATGCATGTCCACCATGTCAAGAACGAATCTACAGCCTTGATGGTACAGATACGACAGAACGAATATACAAATACAAGTAGGGCTAAATGCTGAATTTGTCTTTTGTTGTAAATTGAAGTCACTATAGACCATTTCGAGGGATGTAAACAATAACAATAATCATAATGTATTTCCTGTATAACATTTTGAATTTCCATAGCTTCCAAGAATCCAAAAAGCTCCACGTATTGATAAATAATGTTATGGTAGCCGTTTTAACTTTAAGATATGAATAATTTGCCTCTTGTTACAGATCTAAGAATAGTTTGGTAACAAGCAGGAAATGTTCAGGGCCAGCGACATTGCCACATTGGTCTATAAGCATTTACTTTCACTTTTGATATGAATGACTGTTTTTTAAAGATGAGTCTTGTGTCTATTTTTACATTATTTGACCTTCACTCTAACTATCAGGTAAAGTGCAGGAACATGTTTTATAAAACTCAGCACTTGCACTTGTGCAAGAAAGACACACACAAACCACACCAACATTGAGTTCTCTTCTTCATCTTGTGCTTGATCTTTAAACTGGTAAAACCCAAAAGCACATGTTGAATTCACAGCAGCATTTGTATGATTTTTTTAGGCTGAAAAACGCTGGATAAATACACAAAGTGAAACTGTGGATACCTTGTCCATCCAGACTGGCCAGACTGCGTGCTCCTCCAAGTCTGTCGGCCTTCTCCTCGGTCTTCTCCTCTTTCTGTGAGGACAGCACCTCTTGGGAAGAGCATTTCAGGGCCGATATGGAGTTTCTCGCCTTCTTGCTCGGGGAGAAGCGATTTGCTGGAGGTGAGAGATGGAGACTAATTACGGCCACTGTCCTAAGTGAACTGAAAATATGATGATGTAACTCTACCGTAACCATTACCTGGCAGCAGACAATTAGACCGTGAAATGAAATCTCAGTCTGCTGTCTAACTTTATTAGACCGGATAAAAATAAATCTCCATTGTGCTGTCTTAATGTGGCTTATGAGATCTGATTAAAGGGGTGAATTACAGATTTTAGACTTCTAGAGAAGCCGAAGAACGTCTCAGAAAGAGGAAGAAGAAGTTCTGCTGTCATTCGCACTGCTGTTTCAAAATATTCTCACTAATGAAATCAAAGTGAAATGTGCATTTGTGCAACTATCACACTTTTTCTAAGTATTAAAGGGATCGGTTGGATCGGCTGTTTTCTTTGCATTTTAGTTTGATACCATTCATAAAATTAGACCTAAAATTAGGTATGCTGCTGACTATCAAAAATGACTAGGGGGTTTCGAGCATACATACTGAGGTGTAATTTTTTTTAGCAAATATAAAAAGACAATTTTATTTGATTTCAGAAGTGACTGTCGTTTATATCAGGGATGCACCAATATTATAATTTTTTTTGGTCAATACCAATACCGATATTAACTAAAACCTTTTGGCCATTTCCTTTATTGATATTGATATTGGCAACCCAGGCTCGTTCTGAAAATGCACTGCTATATACATTTCTGGAGAGGACCAAATATGTCCCAGGAGGTAAGGTTTTTTTTGCAGTTTTTGTTTCTGCAAAACCACCAGAGGCCGCTTTTTATGCTTTTTCAGATCTCATATTTCTCTTGCCAGTGCCATTCACACCTGCTGTTCCACGTAAATCCGCCAGAGGCCGATGTCGACTGACTGATTGACTGACTGAACAATCGATTGACCCACCCTCTGCCTTTCCTAAACTAATAACCAATAGTGTTTTCAAAAGCACAGATTGACCTGATTGACCTTGGTCAATTGCACACAGTACTTTTCAGTATAGCTAGTTTTTGGGTTGGTTGTTTTACTGAAAATGGAATGCATCCATTTAACATTCAACTTGCATCCATTAACATTCAACATTTAGAATAAGCATGTTGTTTCATTTTTACATAAATATATCTGTTACACTGAACAAAGATGGAGCTTTACTTTACCTATTTACATTTTTTTTTTAAAACTGTACTTCTTGTATAATTATTATATGTTAGGCACCTAGGGTCTGAGAGTAACGTAATTTTGAATTTTGCTGAATTGATAATAAAGCTAACTTTGACTTTTTTTGGACTCTGACTATATTTTTACATTTTATTTTTTACAAAAGTTTTTTTGAAACACTAAGGGCCCTATCATACACCCGATGCAACACAGAGCCAGGCACGTCGGACATGGTTTGTTGCTATTTTCAGACCAGTCCAACTGGCATTTTCATGTTTCGTGCCCCGTTGTTTAAATAGCAAATCCATTTGCGCCACTTTGTGGATTCATGGACATGAAAAAATGGGTGTTAAGGCCCATATTGGTGCGTTGCTATTTTGAGGCAACTGAAATAGACTGCGCTATTGACCAACTAAAAGCTGGTCTAAAGTCCAGTGCAGAGTTTTTGTAATTTAATGAGCGTATTAGCACCTATGCGGGTCCAAAACACGTGTGCACATTGCTTCATACGCACATCATATACAGCAATACACTTAGATCTTTACACAACAAAAATAATAAAGGATTAAAATCTAAAAAAAAAAAAAAAAAAAATATATATATATATATATATATATATATATATATATATATATATATATATATATATATATATATACTTTCTATAACTTTCTTTGAATAAAAGTTATTTTTTTTACCACACTTTGTTATTATTATTTATTCGTTTGATGGAAATTAGAACTGAATTTAGAAATAGTATGAAACACATCTTTGAGCTTAACAAACGAATTATGAGATTAAATATGTATGCTAATGGATGTCTTCAGTGAAGTGAGTTTCCACAGTTTTTTTATCCACTAAAGTAAAGGAGTAAAGAGTAAAAGTAAAGTAAAGAGAAAGTAAAAAGGCCAAATGGAGGAGGCTTGTTCCTTATCCTCATGCTGTAGATGGTCGTTTAAACTATTTTCACGCTAGTGAGACTTATAAATTCTGCCATGTAAATAGCAAATGCGCCATGGTGCAATGCTACTGACTCTTACAGCCTATTCACACAGGGCGTCAGCGTCAACGCTTCCTATTCAGTTTGCCGTTGCCGAACTGAATTGTGGATCAGTCGGCGCTGCTTCAATGGCGTTGCCAACTTTTCAAGCACCAACGAAAGCGTCAGCCAATAAGAAAACTGTATGCAAATACACCAGCTCAGATAGTAGCCGATTGCTGACTAATTTCATTGGCTGACACTGCTGTGATGATCGCGTTAGTCACCTTCTGTCAAGCATTAGCACTGAAGCCCCATGTGAATCGGGCGTTAAAGGGAATGGGAGATGAAACTATGACTGGTTTAATGCAAGTTATGCTCAAAACACACCCATAACTCATAGAATAAGCACAACCCTGTTAGACCATATGCCAGGGTGCAGACCATATTTGTCCATGCTTAAAATAGCAAAAGAGGATACGGACATGCTCTTAATGCTTTTGTGTCATGCGCTTTAGACTTTGCGCTTAGATCATTAAAATAGAGCCCTACAAACTTTACTGGTAAAACCATCAACAATAAGGAGTGCATGATTATTTGGTATCAAAGCTTTGCAATCAAAAAATGTCATTATAATGGAAGCCAATGCAAAAACAGCCACGAACCTAATGAAAGGGTAGTCAATTTGAACAATACACAAGGATTACCGAATGCAAATTGTTACCCAGTTTTCAGAACAAAAACACACATTTTGCCTTTGCAACTTGCACCGCATGTAATGTTGCATCTGCATCAAAAATGCATCTTCATATTGTAGACTTACGCTGATTCTTTCTGAACACTCGGCTGCTCATGAACTTGAGAAATCTGTTTGCATAGAAACTCGGCCTGTGCACAGACACAGTATCCTAGGAGAAACAGAATACAACACAATCAAACCAGGAAGAGTCTTTAATTCCCTCATGCGCTATGAATAGTCTATTCATAAGAGAAGACATATAGACTTACGCCATCATAGACCAGCGCCTTCCAGGAGTGCTCCAGCTTCTTGATGAATCTGGGTGCAAAAACAGGAGCGAGATGAGGGATAATGGAGTTTGTTCAAAGAAGCTGGAATCAGTCATTTGATGGTGTGTAATTTGACATTTGGATCTCTTGGGTTTGCTGTAAACCAAGAACAGACTTACCTATAAGACTGCAAGATGTCGATAATGCCTAGGAAAATAAGTACTTTCTCATCCCTGTGTGTTTTTGCAGGAATGCCTCCCATTCTGTGTAAAAAAAAAAAAAAGATCAGGACAAGTACATTAAGATTTCACTACAAATGAAAAAGAAGAAAAGGTCGCTATTCATATTAAGCGGCCTTAATTACTATGTAATTACATGTAAATTAATCTTTTGATACAATGCACCTATTATGCCTATTATCCAGAAGAAAAAAATATTATCAGACATACTGTGAAATTCTCCCTGCTCTTTCAAACATAATTTGAGAAAAATTAAAAAAAGGAAAAAAAATCAAAGGAAGGCTAAACACATAAAACACATAAAATACTAACACATAAATATATATATATATGTATGAAAATTGTATATAATATAATAATATACTATTAAATTAATACTAATTATTTATATTATTATTTTTTATCATTTATTTTTTTTATATAATTTATATTTATTTTATATATTTGATATCATACAATAATTTATTACATTTATTTTGATTATTAAAAATATTTAAATTTAAATCAATTTAGTTTTAATATATTTTTTAATTAATTTATATACAAAAATACAAATTTCATTTGTTATTTGTTATTTCAATCATTATACATAGTGTATGTGTGTGGGCGAATGCTTACGCTGATCTCTGCACACACAGAGATGATAATTTTTAATTTGACTACCTTTGTTTCCTTGTTTTATTGCTGAGCTACAAAAAAACTTTTAATTTAAATTAAATGTTTTAATTAAATGTTGTAAATGAATCAGATTTTTAAAAATGTAAATACTTGACGGATAGAGGATTATGCAGAAGACATCGGCGATCAAATCAAGGCAAAAAACTGGTGTAATTCTGTTATAAATTACATTGTTTTTTTTACTATAGTAGGATTATTATATTACTGAATTAGTAAATATAAAGCAGTGTTTAGTCATTTATAAACATTATTAAACAAATAAGGAAATTACTCATGTCAACTATATTTATCTTCGGTCCACTAGCCTCAATCAAGTTTGGTTTTTGGCCCTTTATAAGAAAAAGTTTGGGCACCCCTGGTTTATAGTGTATGTAATGATTTATTTTCTAAGTATTATTTCACAAAAGTCAACAAAGTTTACAATTCTTTAAACCAACATTTCAATTTAAATGACAACACACACACACACACACACACACACACACACACACACACAGATATATATATATATATATATATATATATATATATATATATATATATATGCAGACATAAAGAGCCTGAACTTACGTGTCGTCTGTGGTCAAAGCCTCTGCTGCTTTTCCGTCTCCCTGAATGGACTCCATGGCGGTGGAGTAAAGCACCTTCTGTCCCACAGTTCTCTTCCCGTCCACAGCACTGCCGTCTCCATCTCTGTGACTCTGATCCAGAACATGAACCCCCAGCAGGAGACTGTAGTCCATGATCTTAAAACTCTCCAGCACCTACAGCACATTTTAACACACCGAGATAAAAAATGGTGCCATGGTAACATGCAAAACAATATTAGAAATTTAAATATTATATTATATTATATTATATTATATTATATTATATTATATTAATTATATTATATTATATTATATTATATTATATTATATTATATTATATTATATTATATTATATTATATTATTCATTTTCTTGTGGGCTTAGTCCATTTATTAATCTGGGGTCGGCACAGCGGAATGAACCACCAACTTATCCAGCCAGTTTTTATGCAGCGGATGCCCTTCCAGCCACAACCCATCTCTGGGAATTATATTATATTATATTATATTATATTATATTATATTATATTATATTATATTATATTATATTATATTATATTATATTATATTATATTATATTATATTATTTTAAATTATATTATATTATTTTTAATTAAATTATACTCATATTATATTATATTATATTATGTTATTTTATATTATATCATATTATATTATATTATATTATATTATATTATTAATTTGTCGACAAACTGCAGTTTGGCACTTTCACTTTCAATCAATAACATTTCATGCATGAAATGCATGAATGAATGTATCCAATGAATGAATGTATTTTTATGTTTGTTTCTTTTCTGACAAAAAATGATTGCCAAAATACTCGTTAATACATATTCAAACAGAACCTTTTAGAAACCTCGTAATACACAAACAACAAATATTTAACATTCTTAAAGTAAAATTACTTTTTATTTACCCCTCAGTTTCTTCTCTTCAGGCTGTAAGTTTAAATATATGAATATTATTCAATGCTACACTGAGTACATTTACATGGACACCAATAATCCATTTTTAATATGATTAAGACAATACTCTGATTAAGAGTCTACCATGTGAACAGTGATTTTTGATTAATTTAATTTGACAAAAGTCATAATCGAACTAAACAGAAAGGGAATTAAGACATGTGGAGTATGACGATTTTAGTCGCATTATTGAAGTGCAGTAAAGACATGTGAACACCGCAATGAACAATTCCAATCATGTAGGATTTTTGCCAAATTTTGTGACAGGGTAGTTTGTACACACACAACTGTTTGACACTATTCTCTGCACCCACTGAGTCAGTAAAGGACCACAGACACGTGAAATCCCAACACAATCTCACGGCAATTCGTAACTTTTTCATTTAGTGGCTAATTCGTATGAATTCGTACGATCTAATTCGTACAATTTAGTACGATTTGCTCATCCCCCAATGACGGTTGGGGTTAGGGGTGGGGTCAGGTGCCACGCCTCCTTTTTGAAATCGTACCATTTCGTACGACTGAACTCGTACGAATTCGTACGAATTAGCCACTAAACTGGCAAAACGTAAAATACTTACGTTTTCTCGTGAGATCAGGCTGGAAAAAGAGGTTTGTTTTTCCTATACGGCATGCTGTATCAAATTCCATTAAAACAACACTCTTCCAGCAGTTCATACTCACATCCATTATCTCGATTGTCATGAGGGGCAAGCATGAAATGTTCCTGATTAAAAGTGAAAGTGCCAAACTGCAGTTGAAGTCGACAAATTAAAAATTAATGTGAAATTACATGAAACTCCAGAGAAAGTGTGGATAGCGCGGTGACGCAATGACGTTAATCGAATCTTGTGCTAGAACATGTAAAACTGAAACATTTAAAAAGCAACTCATGTAAACCCCTTAGTCATATTATTGTCTTATTCAGATTAAGGCAACTAATTTGATCACTGATGTCCATGTTAACGTAGTCACTGTTTACATCTGTCTCAACTCAACCAACTCAAACAAGCATTTTAAATGTACATCCATGAGCCAATAATGGATCTGCATCATTTGACTTTGGTGTGACGCTTCTGTCCCCTTCGTATATCCTTTATATTCAAATAGAGATTATTTGAATAGGGGCACACCACATCCTTGTTTTGCATCCTGTCAGAAACTTCTAGAAGCCTCCAATGGGCCGTCATGTAGGTCATAGTAAACCTAACAAAACCGCTTTTTCTGGCATTGAGTCAATGGGACAAAGGTTTAGTTCTGAGGGAAGGAATTTATACTTTATTTTTTGGGTGGGGAAACAGTTTAGCAATTTGCTCCGGGACGTAATTTGAATAAATACCACTTCATTTTAAACTCCTAAGTAGGCTTGGACAAAACAAGATTGGTTGATTGGTTGACAGAATGATTTTTTTGGAACTAGACCGACTAGATGTTCGCATTGTGAAAGGCACGATGATGCATACCTAGGCATTTTTCATTTTCTTAAAAGGACGGTTCAACAAAAATACATTTACTCGTCCTCAAGTATTTTCTGTTCACCAAAGAAAGTATATTGATGTTATGATTAACAGTATGGTGTGATAATCAGCTGGACTGCTCATTAAACTGTTGAGAGAGCACTCCAGCTTATCTGTATGTTATCGGTTATTTACATGGACTTCATCTGCCATGAGTCTTTGCGCCAGTCAACACCCACTAAGCTGTAAACAATCTGGACTGACACACACACTGCTGCATATCCTATGCCGTGTTTCCTGACCCTTGCTTTGTTTCTTGTTTCTTGTTGTTACCTGCCTAGAGCGATTTCTTTGCCTGTGTACCGACTACTCTTTTGGATTGCTCTTTATGTACCTGTTTGCTCCTGTGATCGATCTTTGCCTGCCTGAACAATCTCTGTTTAATAAGTACTGCACATGGATCCTCAACTCTATTGTCCAGCGTCTGCTTCATGACAATTTACTTGTTTTCAAACCTAAATACATTTCTTGTTTCTGTTGAACGTGAAATAAGATATTTTGAAGAATGTTGGAACTATTGACTTCCATAGTAGGAAAAACAAATGTGAAGTCAATAGTTACTAGTTATTAACATTCTTCAAACTATCTTAATGTTTTAGCTTGCTTTTTGTTTGCTTTTTGTATTACTTTACATTCGTTGATCTTGATACTTTTCATTGTATTAGCTTAGTTTTTTTTGTTAGCTTAAGTGGTTTGTCTCCTCTGTATTTTTGTTTTCTTAACAAAGTTGAATTAGTTTAGATTGAGTGTCGCACACACTGAAGATCTTATTTTTCGATTCTTTATTTTGTCGTCTAGTTTAGCAGTTATATTTAAGGATTATTTTGTTAATTTTGTTGATTTGCCTAACACTCGTAACATTTTTGTTTGTGATTGAAACCATTGACTTCCATCTTATTTTTTCCCTACTATGGAAGCCAATACCAGTTACCAACATTGTTCAAAATATCTTATTATTTTATCTTGTTTCTTTTGTTTGTTTTTCTTTTTCAGATTCTTTGAACTTGAGGCTTTGACTTTTGATGATTCTGATTCATTTTTATTAGATTCTGTATTTACTTTTGTTTTGTTTTCTTTGTATTAGCTTAGTTTGTTTTTGTTAGATTAGATCTTAAGTGATTTGTCTCCTCTGTATTTTTGTTTTCTTAACAAAGTTGAATTAGTTTAGATTGAGTGTCGCACACACTGAAGATCTCATTTTTTGATTCTTTATTTTGTCGTCTAGTCGAGGAGTTATATTTAAGGAGTCTTTTGTTAATTTCGTTGATTTGCCTAACACTCGTAACTTTTTGTTTGTGAATGTAACCACTGACTTCCATCTTATTTGTTTCCTACTATGGAAGTCAATGGTTATCGGTGACCAACATTCTTCAAAATATCTTATTATTTTATCTTGTTTTTTGTTAGTTTTTCTTATTACTTTAAATTCTTCAAACTTGATACTTTGAACGGCAGAATCTGAGTAAGATGTATTTTGTGGTTGAATGAAACTAATCTGAGCAATGATATTCTGTTTAGTTTTTTTTTTTTTTTGTATTAGCTTAGTTTGTTTTTGTTAGTTTAGATGCTCAGTGTTTGGCCTCCTCTGTATTTTTTTTTTTTTAGTTTAATTGGTTTAGATCAGGTGTTGCACACACTGAAGATCCCAGTTTTTTATACTTTATTTTGTCATTTACGATTTATATTTAAGGATTGTTTTGTTAATTTCTTTGATTTGGCTAACACTCATTACTTTTTCATTTGTAAATGTTATTGTAAAGAGTTTTTCTCAACCCAGGCTCATATTGAAAACGTACTGCTACTTTAAATTCTGGAGGGCGTGAAATATGTCCCAAGAAAATGTTTTATTTTTTCGCCCCCATTTTTGTTTTCGCAAATTTAACAGAGGCCGCTGTGTATGCTTTCTGAGATCACAAATTTCTCTTTTGAGTTCAATTTCTTTTTCAAGCAATTCAGAAAAAGAAAAGCTGATTTTTACCATGTTTTCACGTTTTACCACACTATCCTGTTTATTTTATTTTTTTAGCTTCTGTTTCTGTTATACACGCTTTCTGGAACTGGTCTTAGTAAGACTTGAACCCTGTCATCATGGTCAACTCCTCTCTGCATCTCAAGTCCATCGACGTAGATGGCGTTTTAAAGATGAAATGCAGCCATACGTACTTCTAGCTACATAATGCGTGATCTCCAGAAATTTATATAGCTCTACATTCTCAGAATGAGCCTATGTTGGTTTTTCTCCTTATTGTTAATTTTTTCTCTCTAATAGGAATTAAATTTTTGTCCGTAATTTTTGCAAATAAAAATGTATTCAACCTCACGTTGAGTCAATCATATTGACAGGCTGAAACTTCCCCTGCAGGCACAGGATGTTAACATGACGTCCTATTGACGTTGTACCCCAACATTGTGGGGATGTTAGATTTTGTATGTAAATGAAAATCGGGTTAACGTCAGAACCCAATGTCAGGCGGACATCAATGTCCAACGTCCAACGTAAAATCAACCTAAAATCAACCAAATATCAACGTCTAATCATGTTACACCTTGATGCTGTGTGGACGATACCACCATGACATCTATCAGATGTTGGATTTTGGTAACTTTCCAACACAACCTAAAATCAACCAAATATCAATGTAATGTGATGTCGTTTTTGGACATCTAAATCAC